AAAAATTTGTTCGTAGTGCTTTAAAGTAATACGGTCATGTGTAATAAGAAGGAAATTGTTTAAATAAAAAAAACCCCAGAAATTTTATTAAAATGATATCAAAATGCTATAAATAAAATAAATTATTTTAAATTATATAATCTAATACGACTTATTATTTTCCGTTTAAAAAATGATAAATTTTATGACATATATGACAAAACTATGATATCAAACATCTGGATGACAAGTGAGATATTAGAATATGTATTGAATAATTAAAAGTAATTCAACTTGATCTATAATTATTAAAAAGGATAAAATAACATTATTCGTTTTTTTTACTTTGAGTAACGTTTTTATGCAGGAATTTTTACTGTAGACGGTATGAATTATTTTTCTAAAAATTAACTCTTAATTGCTTGGATTTGATAATGTGAAAAAATCGTAAGTGAGAACATAGTTAAATTACTCCCAGCTCCCAATCGGGACCCACTCAACCGTGCAGTATGTGCTTGCTTTTCTGCCAAACTACACTTATTCGTGCATCGGCCCACAACTGTTTTGTCATTACGCTTATGTTTCTATTTTAATGTAGTGTCATTTGCATAGCTTCCCACGTCACTTATCATTAAGAATTTATAACTGAAAATACGTGCCCCTTCCCGCGCCCCTCTCATTCACATTTCTCCAGGCAAACGCACTTCGGCCTATTTTTCGTCCCTGACTAATACCAACTTGGTTGAGTGAAGAAATTTTTTATGAGCTAATCACACTTTGACACTAGCTCGATGTAGATAACGTTGTCTCGTGGTACGTCATCGCACACGGAGTCCAAGAGATATAAAAGCCGGTTGAGTATTTTTTGAAAGAGTATAGACAACTGTCAAGCAGGAGGTGAAAATTAGGTAAGTACTCAATAAAATTAATGACACTTTCATGTATCATCAGTTGAAGGTGCTCGGCTAAACTGTTTATTGAATGATAAGCTCTTATGTGCCTTGGGATAACCCCAATTTTCACTCATCAATTTTTCCAAAAATTAAATATTTCACGACAGTCTTTTTGACGAGTTTAATAAAATTCAAATCAAACAAACTATGTATAACACGTGAGTTTATGTAATATTATTTAAACTTCTGTAATTTACGGATTTTTCAAGAAATTTACCGGTAATTTTCAATTATTTTATGTACAAAAACTTTGTCAAGCAATAATATATGAGGAAATCCACAAAATACATCCCGTGTTTATCCCTCATTTTAATAAAAAATATTTTTTTGTAACATACCTTCGAGATGGGGCTCATTTTACTCGTAATGTCACGTACTATGAGGAAAAATTTTGAACACGGGTTCAGTGAAGGTGACACCCTTTATTTGTGATTAACATTCTATTATTATATCTAAAAAGGATGTCACCTTCTCTCAAGTCCGTGTTCAAAATTTTTTCCTCATAGTACACAACATTACGAATAAAATTTTTTTAATTTAAACACACATAAGGGCATGTCTCAAAAAAAATTGTTTTCAAATGGAGAACAAAAATGAGATGTTTTTTGTGGATTTTCTCATAATATATTATACCGAATGAACGTATACTACACCTGATGAATTTTAGGATTGTCAAAAAATTTACTAGCCATGAAATGTATACCTATAAAAAACAGTTTGATTAACAAATATTTATTTCAAGGAAAAATGACGTCTGTTGCACAAATCCTCGTAGTCATGGGTCTGCTATTCGTAGCTACGATAGCAGTCAAAAAGCAGGACTTTTCTAAAAATTATTCCGAGCCTTACTATTCGCTTTACCACAGACTTGCAAAAAATTTCAACCAAAGCCTTGCGTACGTAATGTGCAACGCGACTGTAAGTTGGTATGACTTGAACTGCTCGTTCAAACTGAAGATGCTGAATGGCATCGAAAAACATTGCGACGTAAGTTTCGCACATCTCCAGAATTTTGGTGGTCTTTACAGCATAATGGCAAACAAAGCTTTGTTCGAATTATCTTTGGTAAACGATAGCGCAGAATACAAAGGGATTGCTCTAATCGACATGAACAACTGCAATTCTGTCCATCTAGACTTTCCAGACGACGATTACATATTTTTTAAAATTTATCAATTGAGTTTCAGGTAATAACTATTTTACTGTTCTTATTATTTTTTAACACATGTTTTTTATAGATATGATAATATATATTCACAGATGAGTTTTGAACAGTAATTATTCATAACTATATTCTAAAATAACTACGATACTTAAGTTAATTGCTTAACTGATTAATTTAATTCGATAGTTTCAATGCTAATGATATACGAGTTTTAAAAAAATATCTTCAAGGTACGTGCTTCAAAGAAATGCAGACATGTATAATGAGAAAGAACGTTAAATTAATGGTATAGCTCGACTGAGTGACGTATGATAAAAAAGTAAACATATTTTCCATTCGATTTAAAAATAAAATTAGGCTCGTTATGTTAGGCTCGTTTTAGCTAGAACTACGTATTAATAATTGGTAAATTTATTTTAAGTTATAAGTTAGTTGAATAAAAATAAATATTTTAAAAGTTCATTTAAAATACATAAATATACTTTGAATGATGTCATACTTTGACGTCAAAGATAAAATCAACATAAACATTTTTTAAATGGTTCAGTCTTTGTAGTGTAAGTATCCGATAGGG